GCAGGGCTGGGAGGGGGCAGGAGATAGTACTGGGGAGGGACCTAAGCTGTGCTCAGTGTTGTGGTCACAACTGAGGAGCAGGGAAGGAGGATACAAAGCAAACCGCTGCCTGCCCAGAAACTGCCCCCTCCCCCCATTCATCTGCCCATCCTTTGGTGTCCTCCATACTGAACCTCCCCCGAGGGCCTCCTGAAAGAGCTCCCCCCCAGGGGATCATCACTGCAGTGATACTCAGGAGATATCCCATGGAGAAGTATCTCTGTTAGCAAGGGCCATTGCGTTATTTATCACCCCACGGAGAAGGCAGCGTGACTGACGGGTCAGAAGTGTCAGTGTCCTGGGGCAGCAGGGCATGGACCGGAGTTACCCCCAGGGCCCATTTGCAGAGGGCACTGAAAAGGGACTGCAGGGACAGGCTGGAAAAATGCGTGTAGGATCAGCACACCCCAACCTTGGATGTTTCAGAGACCTGGGCATGGGTGTCAGTTCCTTTTTGCAAGGTGCCCTTATGATCCTCGGTGCCATTAGACACATGCACTCAGCTACCCAGACCCCATTTCTACCCTTAAAAAGAGCTCTAACCCCACTCCTAACCCCTTCTTGCCACCTCCATGGGCTTTAAACACAACCTGAAGGATGGGCAGGTTGTAGAGTCACAGTTACTGCCCAAGGAGATGTTGGGTGGTGGGTGGACTGCCTGTCCTACCACATAGGTGGCTGAATCTCCTGTCTCACCTCCCAGCCCTCTGCAAAGAGTCAACCGAGCATCCCTGGTCAAATACCCAGGCTGCATTGAACTGGAACAACCCAGGGGTGTGTCCAGAACAGCGCATCCGCAGAGGAGAGGAAGGAGTGGGAGGCTCTGCAGCAGCCTGAGATGACCACCCAGCAAGGGAGGACCCTGGAGCTGAACTCATCTAAACCGTGCCGGGAAAAGGCTGAAAAGGGAACTGTGCTTCCTAAGGGTGGAGGTAGGTAGAGTGTAACCCTGGGCCACAGCTTTAGGAACAAGAAGAAAGAAAAGCTAACTTTGCAAAGCCCGCTGCATCTCCGTTACCCTCATTAGGGTCCGCAGGGGAATGACCATTACCCTGCTCATTAGCAGAGAGCAAGACCAAGGCGGTCAGGGGTCAGCACAGGGTGTCCCCCGTGGCCTAAGACAGAACTATTAATTCTGATGTATGTTTTCATCTCAAATTGCCTGAAATAAGGTGTGTTTCAGCTGACTAAGGAGTGTTTCTGCAGCACGAAAGGGACCATGTGTTGCATACCCCAGGTCATGGTGCCAGGACCTGGGTGCCCAATGGGACAAGACCTGCTGAGATAGCTTTAGGAGTCTGGATAAGGGGTGAAGGATCCAGCCCTGTTGTAGTCCCTACCACCCTCCAGAAGCAGCCCATGGATTGCAGGACATCTAGGGGTGTCCTGGGGCTCTCAAAGCCAGGGAGAAACATAAAGCTGGTGTTACAGCAGAAGCCCTGAGAAATGGAAACACGCAAGTCAGTGTAGAGGACAGGCATGGGATGATAAGAGATGGGGCACGGTGGAAAGCCTAAGGCTATCAGCAGCTCACCGATCATCAACTTGCAGGCCTGAATCTGGACAAAAACAGTTTTAGGGGTAACAAAGAACAAGTACCCAACACAGAGAAAAAGCCCCATATATAGACCATTTGAGTGCAATATTGATGTGTGGGCAGATAAGGGAAGAACAAAGTGTGAAGGTATGCCAGAAAACATGTGAATCCAAAAACGGAAGAAGGTGAGACAGAAGAGGAAACCCCATCAACATCACACTCTTCCACAGAAAAAGCTTGGACTCCTAATGACCCACTGCCAACACCCCTTGCATGAGGAAGACTGGTGCTATTGACCTTCAGACTGAGGGAACACCAGACAAGTGAGCATAGGACCTGGAAAAGTGGCAGAAACTAGGGAGTGTGTGCCCTGGGCAACTCCTTTTTAGTGCAGTAGAGCCCAGGACCAACCCACATCCATGCAGGTATTACCTGAAAATTCCCAACATCACCATCAACTGGACTATGAAATGTTCACGCAAAGCTTTCTACAAATTTAACACAAAGAGTTACTACTCAGAGAAGCGCTTCCACAAGCCTTAAACACTCCTCCGTACATACCACAGCCATAGACTTGGTCATAGTCTTGTCTGGTCCTCCTTTGCAAGTGTCCTGCATGCTGTAGGATCAACTTTTACTCATTAGTTCTCTGAGCTTTTGGCCTGTTTGGGCTCCTCATGCACTCCTTGTTTCCCTTGGCAGATGCTTTCCATGCATAGTGCAAGCCACCTTCTGTTTTCCAGCTTGGTCAATCCTCTCAGGGCACTCCAAACCTTCATCTTCTAAGCCCCTGCGAGCCAGCATGCATCCCGTTCCCTCTCTTCCCCTGCCTTGCAGATGTTCATGCTTTTACCCCACCACAGCAACCGTATTTATAACATCACTCACCCTGTTTCCCTCTGGTTGGCTACCTATCTGTTTTTGTGGTCCTTCATGAGCAGGACTGGCCTGCCAACACACGGCAGCATGCTTGCATAGGGTCCTGCTTGGCTGCTCGTAGTCCCATACCATTTGGGTTGGCGTGAGCCGTGGTGGTACCCAGTGCCTATTTGTATGACCAGAGCTTCTTAAACATCCTGCCAGCATCCCTCTGCATGGCTGACTCGCACCTCCATGCCTTCCAAGCCCTTCACAAGAAGTCCTCTGAGGGGCCCCAGGAGACTGATGTCCAAGGACACAAGGCACAGGAGCGTGTTTGGGAATACAGCAGATGGAAGAGGTCAGCGAGATCTAGCTGCCCCCGTACCAATGCATCTAGTGAGGTCCTTGTCACGTTTGCCAGTCCCATGTCAACGTCCTAGAACTAGGGCATCTCAGATGGCTCTAAATAAGCTAAACTGAGCTTTCAGGTGGAGTTTGCAAAACTGTTCA